AGTGCATTCATGTAGTTTTTTGAGTTTTGGTACTAAGATTTCACTGAATTTTTTATAGTATCTCACTGTATATCCATCTGGGCCTGGGCTTTTCCCCGACACTGTCCCCTTTAATGCTAGTTTTATTTCTTCCTGTGAGATATCTGCATCTAGGGAGTTTAGTTGATCCTCACTTTAATTTTAATAACCTAGCCATTTCCAAAAATTTCTTTCTTTTCTTTCTGATTTTTCTCACTGTCTTTAGTTTCTGAACCTTCTAAGGGGCTTATATTGTACATTTTCCTGTAATATTCTGTGAAGGCTTTGATGATATCTTTATTGATGGTGAGTGTTTCATGTTTCCCTTTAGCATCTTTTATTTTTTCTATATAATTTCTATTTTTCTTTTTCCTCAGGGCTCTCATCAGATACTTTCCAGGTCTTTCTCCCCATCTATATCTCTCGCTTAAAAACTCTATATTATATACTTTTCTCCTCTCCTCTTCTCTATCATTTCTTTCAGTTCTTCCTTCTGTTTTTTTCTAACTTCAGCTCTATTTTTTTGTTATTCTATTCTTGTGTATTTGTTCTAATTTACCTATTTCTTCTAAGAGCTCATTCATTTTCTCCCCTTTTTTTTTCTTTCTAGCCCCAATCGCCATTAATATTCCTCTTATATAAGCTTTGTGAGCCTCCCCACACCGTGGCTGTTGACACCTCCCCTGTCTCATTCTCCTCAAAAAAGCGCTCGATCTCCTCCCCTATTTTCTGAGCTATTTCCCTTTCCACTAAAAGTGTTCTCATTCAATTTCCATCCCAGCCCTCCACTTTCCTTCTCCCCCCATTCCATTTTCATAGTAACTGGAGCGTGGTCTGATAAAGATATTGTCTCTATATCTACCTGGGTCAGATGGTCTATTAATTGATGTTCTATTAATATATAATCTAATCTTGAATATCTCTTATGCATACTCGAGAAAAAAGTATAATCTCTATCTTGCGTATGTGTAATTCTCCAGGCATTACCAGTTGACTTATGTGTAATTCTTTTTTCAATAATTTCTTTTTTTTTTTACTTCCTTCTATCTTTATATGGGAGGTGGCGTCCCTTTGTGGGTCCATACAAAAGTTAAAATCCCCTGCCAGGATCAAACGTCCTTTTTTAAAGTCCATCAACTTCCTCACACACCTTTTTCAGATATCCTCCGGTTTTTTATTAGGACAGTAGATGTTGGCCAGTGTACACTCGATCTCCCTGTAACTTGCCCCTTAAGAACAAAAATCTCCCGTCTGGGTCTGTTTTTTCTATCTTCCAACTCGAATCTAACGTTCTTTGCCAGGCCTATTGCTACCCCTTTTGCTTCTTTTAACCGGGGAATCTGCATAGTACCATGTTGGGTTTTTTTTTTAGACCTCAGCCTAACATTTGAACTTATCTCAAGATGTGTGTCTCCTGTAAAAATATCACTGAGGCAATCTCTATGATGTAATTTCTTTAAATAATCTATATCTTTTTCCCGGGGCAGTTCAACCCATTTATGTTATATGTTATAAACTGAATCTCTTCCATCTTCCTTAAATTTCCTCTTTTCTCCTCCATCTATGTTTTTTTATTTCTCTCTTCCTTCTCCCTTCTCACTTGCTTTTATATCCTCTTTTATTTTGCAGAAAAAACAACCTCCCTCCCTCTCCCATTTCCCACCTTCCAACCTTCCAACCCCCCCCTCCCCCCCCCCCCCCTCCCCCCTCTTTTTAGGCCTAACATTTGCCTACTAATCATTTATGGATTAAAAATCCACCCTTTGATTTGATCCTTGGGCTAAAACTCCGACCATGGACGACTTTCCCCTTGTGCTAACCTCCCCATAACCTCCCAAGCCCCACCTAGGTTTATCACCGGCAGAAAAGAGAGAGAAGAAAGAAGAAAAAAAGAGAAGAACAAGGAAAAAAAAATCCCTAACGAGGCAATGGAAGTGGGGGTAGGTGGCGAGAGGAGAAGAGGAAGATTTTAAAAAAAAAAAAAAAAAAAAAAAAACACCTCTCTCCTCCTCCATCCCCCTCTCCCCCCCCTCCACCCCCCCCCTCTCCCCCCACACATTGCCAGTCCTCTTTTCTCTTCACTCTGCTTTCTCATCGCTCCTCTTCCCAGCCAGGGATTTCCATTCTTTGAATTTTTAAACTGTCACAAAAATTTTTCATATCTTCTGGAAACCTAAGGTATGCTGTAGTCCCATTTTTCCATCCTATTAAGCATTCGGGAGTCCCCCATCTATATTGCACCTTTTGTTCTTTCAACCTTTCCAATAGGGGTCTCAAAGTTCTCCTTCTCCACAAAGTCTCTGGGGCCAGATCCGCATATATCTGTATGTCTCCTCCTTCATTACTTAATTACTGGTTTTCCCTTAGTCTTCTTCCAGATTTTTTCTTTGTCCCGAAGTTCATAAAATTTGACAATTATATCTCTCGGCCTTTCTTTCCCCAGGTTTTCTCAGGATTTTTTCCTTTTCTAAAGGTTCCTTCTATTTTAGACCTTTCCATTTCAGAGCTGTCTGTGATAATGTTAAATATTTTTTGCAAACCACCTCTTTGCAGGCTTTCTCCTCTCCCTTTAGGTTTTCTGAGACCCCACGTATCAAGATGTTTCTTTTCCTGTCTTTGTTTTCTTGTATCTCAACCTTATATAACAGTTTTTCTTGGACTTTCCCTATATTAATTAGTTCTTTTTCAAGTTCAGAGATAGCCTGGGTCTGACCTTTAACTTTCTCCTCCGTTTCCTCATCAATTCTCTCCAATAGGTGTCCTAGATCACTGCGAATGTTTACCATTTCTTGTTTTATTGTTTTCTCCAGTTCTTTAAACATTTCTGCCATTTCCTTTTTATTAGGTATTTGTAGGTCTTTTTCCACCTCTGTATTGCCTGATATTTGCTGGTTACTAGTATCAGGGCCTATTGATACTCTAGGGCTTCTTTCCATACTAAGGTCTGCTTTCTCCTTTTTCAGATCTGCTCTGAGGTCTTTCTGGGGTTACGTTACCTTGGGATGTATATTTTTTAATTGTACCAGTCTGGGACCCTTTAAGCCCACTTCCTTTTACATTTTTGTTTTTCATTCTTCTCTGTGGCGCTTATCCTTCTTATAGTCCTTTATAAATTTTGTGGGTAGGGCGGGATATTGTTTCTTAAAACTTTCAAGTCTCTGCCCTGTCCCCCTGCTGGTTTCTCTCCTTCTCCTCTCTTCCTCCTCCACCTTCTCCCCTCTCCCCCTCCTTCCCCCCGAGCCTCTCCTCTTCTCTCTGCGAGCCTCTTCCACCTTTTGTACAGTCTCTAGGGGTCTCCCCCGTTCATATACACATTTTTTAGAGGTCAGCACAATAGACCCTCAAATGCAATTCATAACTGTCACTCACCCTCCTCCTATGTCTTTCTTCCAGTGAGTGCCTTTTCGGTCGGTTCCTCTGAGGGTCTGTTCATGGGGGGGAACTCCCCAGGGTCTCTTCAGGCTCCTTGTCCAGATCTTAATGTTTCTCCTTCCACCTTCTTTAGGCTCCAGGGTTACTAGGGGGATAGGGGGAGAGTGTGTCGGCTCCTGGCAAACAGGTCAGCGCTGCTCTTTCGCCGCAAAAACGCCGGCCGGCCGGCTTCCCGATCTCCCAGAGGTGCCTTGCGGCCGGTCACGTGATCGCACCGGCCCCTCTCGTCTCCCAGCGTCCAGGGACTCTCTCTTTACCAATCACCAGCCGCTCCTCTCTTTTCTCTCACCCGCATCAGTCTCTCCTCCGCCGGGAGCCGTCAGGCCGGGTAATTGCCCCGCCGCAAGGCTCTAACATGTCCCAGGGGATAAGCTTAGAGACCTGGGGAGGTCAGACAACGGAGCTCCGTCCACGAGCTCCTACATTGAGCTCTCCCCTGCCGCCATGTTCAGGCTCCGCCCGTCTATCTCACAGCTTCTGTTGATAACAGTGACATGGTCATTCCTTAATGTTCTGAGCCCAGATATATTATCTCAGCAGTGTCTCCAAATGTAGAGCTATTTTTACACTCTTTGCAGCTACTGGGGTGTGATGGCACCACCTGTATAGTATTTAGGAGCAGAGTCTTTATAATCTGTGTGATCAGGACAAGATCTCTAACAAGCGCTAGTGCCTCCACTCCATTGGGGCATGTGGATAACAAGTGAAATCCCAACCGAGAAATGTATAGTCCACATAGACAGTAATCCACACAGCATTGCATATGAAAGTCCATGTATTGAAGAAATAACATTTCAGTGAACCATCCACATAAAGTATCTTCCACACAGGAACATTAAAGCATTAACAGTCTTTTTTTTTTTTTTTTTTTTTTTTTGCCTCAGCAAGGGGAGGCTGCAACACTTAGTCTGAGCTCTCTCTCTCAGGAAATCCACACACTTCCCTCTTTTCACAAGTTGCTCTCTGATGACCTCATCCTCAGTGCCCAGAGAGCATAGCAACCATACTGGAAAAGGGCAAAACAAACACTGCATAATAGACGTATACACTGGAAAATGGGCAAAAAATTATCACATCACTACAGTATCATCTGGTAAAAGTTTCAGAATTTCAAGCCCTAGGGGCAGAAGAGGACCACATTACTTTCTACCCAGAAAAGGTGGAACACGGATTCATTCTGCAGGTTTCTTAATTTTTTAGTCTTTCAGAAACCATGGGCTCTGCCAACCTTTTTTATCAGCACCTGTGGTAGTGAGCCCTTGTAGATCATCAACTTGGGGTTTCCCAGGGCGTGGAGTCTAAGCCCCAGCCTGCTTCTTCACCAGAGCCCCTGATGGTGGGGATGGACTTGCAACAAGCTGGGACCAAGTCGCAGCCCTGGGTACGCCCAGCTGAGGATGAGGAGACTGTTCATAGGAGCAGAGTACAATGGGAGGAGACAAACGGAATCTGATAGGCTAGCTGTGGGCAAGACGAGCACAGCCAGAACAAAACCGGGTCGGTACACAAGTAGTCAATGTAAGATTCAGGGAATAATACACAGAAGCTCAGACAACTAGGAAGCTGCTCAGGCAAAGTGGGCTAGACTGAGCATATCTTATATAGACAGGCAAACTAGGGATCACCAGAGAAGCGAGATGGTGGAGGCAGCTGGAGTTTCGAAGGACTGTGTTCCACTGGAGGAACAGCGGGGGGTGGAGCAGCAGGAACCGGAGCAGGAGCCGAAAGAGGGTGAGGAAGGGGACACAACCTGCAGCTGATCCAACTGGGAGGAAAGTTCCTGCAGACACTACATAATACGTTCCTGATAGGCCTGCTGGACATTGACTCTCTGCACCAAACACTGGAGTTGTTCCAGGAGAGGCTGCGGGGTCTCTGAGGAGCTCATGGCCTGAGCAAACTGTCAGCACCTGTGGTAGTGAGCCCTTTTAGATCATCAGCTTGGGGTTCCCCAGGGCGTGGAGTCTAAGCCCCAGCCTGCTTCTTCACCAGAGTCCCTGATGGTGGGGATGGACTTGCAGCAAGCTGGGACCAGGTCCCGGCCCCCGGGTACGCCCAGCTGAGCATGAGGAGACCACTTGCAGGAGCAGAGTACAATGGGAGAAGACAAACTGAATCCGATAGGCTAGCCAAGGTCAGGATAGGCGGAAAACAAGCAGTCAGAACGAAGCTGGGGTCGGTACACAAGTAGTCAATGTAGGATTCAGGCAATAACGCACAGGAGCTCAGACAACTAGGAAGTTGCTCAGGCAAAGTGGGCTAGACTGAGCATGTCTTATATAGACAAGCAAACTAGGAGGTGGGCCAGGAAGTGATGGAAGAGCACAGAGAAACCACACATGCGAAAGGAATCCGGAGCAGCAAGGATGTAAGAATAAACCAGAGGCTAACTTGTGACACTTTTCAGACCAGAAATTGGGTACCCTCAATTAGCTCGGCATCGCCATCGCCAGTATGTTAAGGTGTTATTTTCAAGCTACAGCATCCTTTAGGGATTTGTCTATCTATTTGTCCTTGGGGCAAAAACAAGGGAAAGGAGGCTTCATCAAGAACAATTGCTTCATGGATAGTCAAGTTAATTCATAAGGCAAAAAAGGTTAGGGTTGGGAACCCCCCTCTTCAATCAAGGTGCATTCGACCAGGTCTGTCTCCGCTTAATGGGCAGCTAGGGTAAATGTATCCATTGACACCATCTGCAAAGCAGCTACGTGGTCGTTCCAACATATGTTTGTGAGGCACCGCACAGTTGACCTCATCTTATCTGTGGAGTTCGGCAGACAAGTTATCAGAGCGGCCATTGCCTGCTCGAAATAACAATCTGTAAGGGAATTCCCGTGAGACAGCTGGTGAATAGATGTGTGCATGTGTACAGTAATGCACGATCACGCACACGCACGGTGAAGATTGCGGACTATTTAAAAGGTGCCTCTGCCTGTGCTGACTGGTCTTCAGCTGTTCCCCGTTTCCTGCTCGTTCCTATGTGATTTCCTTGTTGCTGACCCTGGTTGTTCCTGACTCTGATTACTCTCCTGCTTGATACTTGTTCCTGACTTCAGATCTGCTCCTGACTTTGGCTTGCTTCTGATTTTGTACCTCGCTGTCTGCCCGTTGATGACCCTGGCTATTCCTATGACATGAGTCCTGTCTCTTATCCCTGCTTCCTGCCTTGTTCTGGTGACCTACCATACCAGCCCTGCATATCACTACTGATCCTGAATCAGAGGTTCATCAGTCTTCCAAAGTCTCCAACTGCAAGAGCTGCAAACATCTGCTGGCGCTCTTGTCCCCCCTGGTCCCTAGATGCCCTCTGTTCCACTTCCAGTGGGGTCAGGGCTAGTGACACAAGTGAGGCTGACCTCCTCATTTCAGTCTCCAATCAGGTACGTGACACAACCCTATATATTTTTTTTTTTTTTTATAAAACTTTTTTCGAAGCATGATCCCACCAATTTCAGCTAGTTATTTATCACAGGTATAATGTCATGGAGGCACCAGGAAAACAAAAAATTGTACCATACTTACTGTAATTTTCCTTTCCTGGTGCCTATCTATGGCATCATACAATCCCGCCCTCAGTATTCTATATTACAGAGAATGCTGGGGGTACCTTAATCATTTCTTTTATATATTCACTGGTTCTGAGGGAGGAGTTAAGATGGAGCTTATCACAAGTATGCTGCCATGGATAGGCACCAGGAAAGAAAAATTACGGTAACTATGGTACAATTTTCTGTTTTATTTGCATGGGGATTATGGGTGGAATATCATGGTTAAACATGCCTAGGCACACATTTGACCTGTTTCTGATAATATGAGAATAGTTCTTTTTCTATTTGGGGATTATGGGTGGATGATTGAACATACACATGCCAAGGACCATATATGACATGTTTTGCCTAAGAATATGGGTATAGTTATTTTTCTATATGGGGATTATGAGTGGAATATCATGGTTAAACATGCATAGGAACACATTTGAACCCATTCTGATAAAAATATAAGAATTTTTCTATATGGGGATTATGTGTGTGTATTGTGGATACGTATGGTAAGAACCGTATTTGTACTGTTTCTGAAAGAATATGAGAATAGTTATTATTCTACATGGGGATTATGGGTGGAATATCAAGCTTAAACATACCTAGCAACACATTTGACTTGTTTCTGATAAGAATATGAGAAGTTATTTTTCTGCATGGGGATTATGGGGTGGATTTTTGTGAATACACATGCCAAGGACCATATTTGACCTATTTCTGAAAGAATTATGGGTATAGTTTTTCTGCATGAAGATTATGGGTGCATTATTGTGGATACATATGCCAAGGACTATATTTGACCTATTTCTGATAAGAACATGTGCATGGTTATTTTTCCACATGGGGAAAATCATGTTTACACATCCCATATAATACATTTGAGATTTTTAGATAACAATATGGATACAATTAGTTTTATTTATGGGGGCCATATCATGGGTACACATTGAGCATAAAATATGTAACATGTTTCTTATAGGAATATGGGAATTATTATTTTACAGGTTTTTTATTGCACCAACAGTTTGCACAGTATTTTACAACATGACGACAGAGTACAATAAAAAATACAATTCAATACAGGAGGAATTGGAGGGCCCTGCTTGTTAGATCTAAAAGGGACAGACAGGTGATACTAAAGGTAGTAATTGAGAGAGGGGGGGATGAGCTGATGCATACAATAAATGTACAGTTGTTAGGTGGAGGAAGAATAGGCTTCTCTGCAAAAAAAAGGTTTTTCAGGGATCACCTAAAAGTGGAATATAAATATTTTTTTTATGTAGAGATTATGATTAGAGTATCATGGTTACACATCCCACGTAATATAGTCATGGAAAAAATATTGGCACCCCTGCATTTCATCAGATAATGCCCCACTTCACCCAGAAATTTGTTGCAATGACAAATGTTTTGACATCCTCATGTTTATTTCCTACATTTGTATGACACAAAAAAGTGGAAAAACAAAAAGCCAAATCTAACATATTCCACGCAAAGCTCCATAAATGGACTGGACAAAATTATTAGCCCCTTCAATTTAATATTTGCACACCCCTTGGGGAAAATAACTGAACTCAATCGCTTCCTGTAACCATCACGGAGTTTCTTACACCTATCTACTGGAATTTTGGACCCCTCTTCTTTCGCCAACTGCTCCAGGTCTCTCAGTTTGAAATGGTTCCTTTTCTCAACTGCTGTTTTGAGATCTGGACTCATTGCTGGCCAATTCATTATTCTCCAGTGCTTTGAAACCATTTCTGGGTGCTTTTTGACATGTGCTTTGGGTCATTGTCCTGCAGTAAGACCCATGACCTCTGATGGAGACCCAACATTCTGGCACTGGGCTCTACATTGCACCCCAGAATTCTTTGGTAGTCTTCTTCTTTCATAATGCCATGTTTACGGTCAAGACATCCAGTGCCTGAAGCAGCAAAGCAACCCCAAAACATCAGTGACCCCCCCATGTGTGACTGTAGGGACTGTATTCTTTTCTTTAAAGGCCTCATTGATTTTTCTGAAAACAGTAGAATGATGGGCTTTACCAAAATGCTGTAATTTTTGTTTTGTCTGTCCACAGCACATTCTCCCAGAAGGGCTTTGGATTCCTTAGGTAAGATTTGGCAAACTCCAATCTGGCTTTTTTAGGTTTCTGTGACAGCAGTGGGGGCCTCCTGGCTCTCCTACCATAGCATCCCTTTTCATTCAGATGGCGATGTACAGTACGTGCTGACACAGTTGTACCCTCAGATTGAATTTGCCTGGAAGTTGATTGAGGTTCTTTAGCCATCATTCGAACAATCCTTTGTTCAATCTTCCATCTTTGATCCATTTCCAGGGAGATTGGCTACAATGTCATGGGCTGTAAACTTCTTGACAATGTTGTGCACAGAGGACACAGGATCATTCAAATCTCTGGAGATTAACTTTTAACCTTAATTGTTCATGATTTTCCACAAATTTTGTTCTCAGACACCATTTTAACTGGTTGTTAGTGAGATTGCTATATTCTCAGAACTTGTTACTTGACAGAGATGAGTTTAATTACAAATTACATGAGTATTACGAACTCGGAATGCAATTATTCCTTACAATTTTGAGAAGGTACCAATAATTTTGTCCAGTCCATTTTTGGGGTTTTACATGGAATGTGTCAAACAGGTTACATATTTTATCCTGGATGTGTACCCATGATATTGCCCCCATAATCCCCATAAATAAAAGTAATTTTACCTATATTATCTAAAAAGGTAAAATGTGGGATGTGTAAACATGATATTCCACTTATTATCCCCATGTGAAAAAATAATTATATGCATCTTCTTAGCAGAAATATGTCAAATATAGTCCTTGGAATGTGTAACCACAATAATGCACCTATAATCCCCATGTTGAAAAATAACTATACCCACAATCCTTTCAGAAATAGGTCAAATATGGTCCATGGCATGTGAACACACAAATCCACCCATAATCCTCATGTAGAAAAATAACTATTCTTGTATTATCAGAAACAAATCAACTGTGTTGCTAGGCATGTTTAACCACTTGCTCTCCTGAGAATTTACCCTCCTTCCTGACCGGGCCATTTTATGCGTCACGGCACTGCATTAGTTTAACTGCCAATTGCACAGTCATGCAACGCTGCACCCGAATGAAATTTATATCTTTTTTTTTATAAATATTTACTTTTATACTTTAATACTATTTCTTTCCACATATTTATAAATGTTTAGCATGAATATATATGCTGTGTGAATATTTTCTGCCTGCTGGGCTTTGTGGTACTTTAAGAAATCCTTGCTTAAGAAATATTTGCTCACAGGAACAGACCCCCTCCCATCGTGTGATTTGGAAGACAAAAGAATGTTTTTCTCTTTTTAAGATAAGACTGAAGAAGATCACACCTATACCATGACGGAGATTGTTTTCGTGTAAAGTGACCAATCAAAGACTAATATAATGCTTATGCTGTTATCACGTGATGTTCGCATCATTTTTCATATATAAGCTCACGGTTTCATTTCAATAAATTAGAGAGAAGTTTTCACAGACCAAAGGTGTCAGTGTGAGTTTCTTTATGTGCGCACATTCCAAAAGCTGGCCAGCGTCATAAATTTTGGACAGGAACAGATAAGCACTGGATGATTAAGTCCATGACTAAAACAATTTGGTGCCAAGAAACCCGGGAACTGAATAATGAACCTGCAGCCAGCCGCCATGAAAAGGCGTTCGGTGTCAGTCAAACTGGACAGGCCGGAGAGCTTGATCACCTCTCGGAGCATGGTAAGATATATTTTGCTATCTTACCATTGCTTATCCTGTCTTTGTTGTTGATTCATACCTGTGCCTAGTACGGCTGCTAAAGG